CATGTAACATGCGGAAAGGTCTATTCTGCCCATTCCGCGTCCTTTAAAAGTAATCATTTGCGTAGAAAATTTGCGGTTGTTTCTACTAACTCCCGGAAATCTAGTGCCTTGTATAAGCTTGAATAGGGATATCGATCACATGCATAGGTAGGTTTTTGTTCTAACGGGGTATTTTTAGAGCAAAATGGTTAGCGTTTTTAGACCTCCGCCTTGACTACCACCTACGTGGCTTAAAAAAGATTTGACAGACTCTTTTAACATTTCACAAAATAAAAATCTCCCAACGTGTGGGACAAACTGACAGGGTGGGCACGTTTACCGTCCATCGCAATAGAGGCTGCCCGGTGTAACATCCTCCCTTCGTAGTTTCCCTTCCACTCCCTGTCAACCTTACTTCTTTCAAGTCGGTACCATGCTTAAACATGTTTTTTCTTCTGTGGTTTAGTAGAGGAAACAAACACTGCTTTCTGAATTTGGGCAACTAAAGCATTTTGCCAATGTTCTGTGTTGTCAGAGAGCAGTAGATAATAGGAAAAAATACCGACAGGCACAGGGGAGACTGAGATGCTCATTCTTGGCTTACCATCCCCCGTCAGCCAGTCATACCCAACCTAAGTTTTGAATTGAGGATAAAAAATGTGTTTAATTCGGGGACTTGTTGAAAAAAACAACTGCATATGGATCGTTTCACGGCTTTATATCGTTTGCATGACGACTGATCGTGAAACTAAATCTCGACCAGTTCTCCTCGGCTTAAAACAGACGACCGATCTAGTCGGTAGAAATAACCCATAATTTGAAATATGTAGTTCGTCGAGTGCTTTATCTGGGAAAGGATATAAAATAAATTACTGTATAATATGGAAACACAGATGACAGATTCTATGCCCTATTTTCACATACTATGAGTGTGGTTCTACCTTTTATAATCGATAAAGTTAATACCCCGTCTATAGTATTTTGCCATGCCAAACAATCTTTGGAAGCAGATCCGGTCAATTCGACTAGAAAAACAAAGGAATATCAATGAACCGAGTCCAATTAGTAGAAGTCTAAGTGCAAACTTGTTACTTCATCAGAAGCAGACGGGCCACGTTTTAAACAAGCGTCTTCCGCAGCATCTTACTTATGCGTAGGCATCGGACTTTTTGCGCAATCTTGGCAGTTAACCGTTTTTTTTAAATCGCAGAATGAAGTATCATATGAGATTGTACAGGTTTGAAAGAGACGAAATTCCACTCTCGAATAGGGTATGGTGACAGTTGGTTGAGCGCTGAATTTGAGAATATGTCCAAAGGACGCATATAAACATCTGACCCTATCCGCACTACCAATTCATTTTTAATTATGCGACTAATCACTCAGACCAGGAGCACTTGGTATGGATTTGATATGGAAGTTGGTAGGGTTTTCTAGTGCGTCTAACTTTAAGGCCTATCGTATGACAGCTGTCCCTCCAGGACAACATTTATTTCAGTCTTTTCTACTTGACTTAACCATCATTCTACACAGCCGGTGGAAGTTGTTTCACCGCGGAATTTGGCTTGAAGATAATTGCATCCTCCCAGCATAAGTTTGTTTCTACAACGCTGTTATGTTAATCCGGGGACGGTTCAACCGCATCAAGACGGAAGTCTTCTTTGAGGACAATTTCGTCCTCCTCCCTTTATTGGTAATACCCGGAAATAGGGACGTTCTCTAATATGGATGGCGTTTCACGAGATCCCAGAAAGGATGCCTATTCCTCACCCTAACCCTGAACTTAACACTATTCCAACTTTAACCCAGACCCTATCATTAATCGCAACATTATCGCGAGGTCATCCGTACTACGGATGAAACTTATTTCTGTGTCCTACCCACATATTGGCTTTAGCTCCAGGGCTGGACCGGTTTTCCGTTTTGGGCCCCGGCTGTGAACTCCCGTTCTTGATTTTAAGGTACTGATTTATTTGGTACGAAGATAATTCGGCGTGCACTAAGGAGATTAGTGTGAAAGAAACGTAGACTGAATTGATGGCGTAACCAGTCTGAGTACTGCGAAATGGCCTATTGTGCACTAAGATGTGAAAACAAAGTTAACGAGAAGGCTTGTTAATTGCCTCAACAGCAAAGGTAACTCACCTTCACACCTATTAGGTGGAGGATTAGAAAGTGCGCTTGAAAATGTGATTTCGGACGTGTACCTCCAGTGCGACGCGACGGAAAAGGAACTCGGCAACGACCGGTATTTTCTAACTTTAATAGATGGAGAGCTGAGCTGGTCGATGGTAGGTTTGCGTAAGCCTTACTTTCGTCTTTACAATAGAAGCTCCTCTAATAAGTGTTGACACTTCGTGTTTTCGAGCACTACAACTCGAAGTGTCGATCTGCCCATGTAAACGGCTTTTTGATCGTCAAAATGGATATAAAATGAATAGGGTTTAGGTCTCTCTCACTCTCCTGTTCTTGAATCTGAAGTTAGTTTGGAGGGAGAGAAGCAGCATGACTGTTTTTTACTGTTCGTATGGAAAAGCAAACAAATTGCAGTCCATAAGTATCCGTGTGAAGCAAAGCTGCGAGCACTCTACTGCTGTCACATTTTCACTTTAACCATTCAAGGATACACAAGCGAAACAGATGAAGAAACTGCGTACAAGCGTGCGTATGAATCAAAAAAGAGTAATCATTGAGATCTGTTAGCCTAATGCACAATTTAGGAAGAATGACTGAATCAGAGGCTTTTGCAACCAAGGCATGACTACCAAGTGGATAATTACAAACAAAGACCCCTGTCGATGTTGTGATATGCCCCCTCATACTGCATACGAGTAAGGACCTTCAGGATGCATCGCAGTTGCTCTGGGCATGACTATTGTCCATCGACATAAGATCGTAACCCACTGTGAAATCGTGAACTTACAGATCAATTGATCAAGGCGAAAAGTGCAGTCGTCATTTGTTGCCTTAACTGCGGAAATTATTCCTGTATGCTCGAGCAGAAGAGACCACAAGTCGGCCACACAAATGCTAAAGGAGGGCAGGTCACAGTGACCAGTCATCTCAAGTGACCTACTATGCGACGAATCCCAACCACATTTCCCATTTCACAGGAGCTCAATGAACGTCTTGAGGTCTACATGGTAGGCCGCAAATTGCGGGGTGTCTGGTATTCAGGAACATACTCCGTTAGTCTTTGCGAAAGACGCTCACCATAACCCGGTATTAAGTCTTCAGTTTCTACCAGGACCGACTCACTGACCAAAAGGATTTGGTACATGTAGACAGAGCTCGATACTTACTTAGATGTCTGTTAACCAACAGGAAAACGATGCCGAAAGTCCAGACATGTACATTTGCTTGCCACAGGTAAAAATCCCTTTTTTTTGACCAGATTATTATCAAGCTGATGGGCTGCGCGGCCAAAGTACACGATTTTGACGCTAACACATATTGGCGACAAGGGAACACTTCTGGTCACTGAAGCCGAGCAATCTTTCATCCTTGCACCGGAGTCCGGAGAGGTTGTTTGCCAGCAAAGTCTAATATGCATCAGAAGATGTGCTTGTTGCATACCTACTTATGCCTACATCACGTTACCACTTGGTCGGAGGAGAATTTCCGTGGTTTATGTAATTCAAGTAATCAGGCTGAAGATCGTTTTCAGTAAGTCGCTATAAGGCCTGTGCAAGTACATATACGTGATCTAGTGGAAGATACAGCGATGGAAACGCGGAGGGAGAGGTGGACGGTGTGGTATAAAATAGAAGGATGAGGGAAGGGATTACGATAAGTTTGAATGACATGAGGTCTTGAAGAAAGAAGGGAGAACTCGATAACCGCGTATTAGGAGGATTTGTTGTGAGGAAGAAAGTCCGACTAACAGGCTGTTGTGGACGTTGTCTGCAGGGTTGATTGTTGTCAAGTGGTAAACCACGGTATTTGATCAAAATAACCTTTGCTACTTCTGAATGCAAGAGGCAGAACTAACTAAACGGATAGTGGCCGCCTTGGATGTAATCAGCTGGATCTAACCTATTAGCTCCGACCGACCTCTAGAACCTCGTAGGCAGCCTTGGATGCTTCTGTCACCCACTTCGCTTTCAGTGTACACTAGATCGGTTGGGAAAATGATATAGAGAGTTGTGGCCTGACAAAATCAAATTCTGCCGTGTTTTTGCATCCTTTGGAAGCACGACTCGTCTTTCAAACCATTTAACCTGTTCCAAGGAATACTTGACTGTGTAGATGTCTAATGATGAGGCCTGAAGTAACACTCTGTTGACACCTTTTGCATGATGGAGTTCATTGCTAGCGAATACTACCCCCAGGTCGAGCTAAATTTTAGTATGTGGCAAAAATATCCGATCAACAGAAGAATTCCTGCTGCACGATCAGAAAGGGTCAGCAATATGTTAAATTCCTGAGTACTGGGGGAAGGGTAAGAAACACTTGTAGTCACTCAGTCCCTAAGATTTGATTAGGCTGTGGTGACTTTAGGTATTTGTGACCAGCAAGTCATGCCAGTTCTTCGTTAAAAAGCGAAAATTGCTCTAAGTATTGCTTCGGCAGAGCTGGGGCGCTCCAAGGCATGAGAGCTTTGAAAATTTACACTAAATGTTAGTCGAGTGTAATCGGCTGACAGTTGGTTTGCTCTGGCAAGATGGCAAACCTAGTTCGAAAGGGATACTGCACTTTATTGTCCTTATAATTTTTTTATCTACTAAGAAACGTTGCTTTAAAAGGTCGTGTAAAGCACTAAAAACAAGTAAACTTACCGTCGCTGAGAGATGACGGACAGCGACGAAGGCGAACCGATCGATGCGCGTGTCACACTGGCTTACGCCCCATCAGCCGAAAGTGAGTGATTCACGTAAATACTGATCAGTGAGATTAAGTCAGCATCAGCTGTTCAGTCATTCTCATAAAATCAATAGTTTGCTTCCACTAAACTGTTACTATCACTTAATTTGCTTAAGCCAAACGGATGACGAATTAAGCGTCGCTGCTCGTGCAGTTAGCGAAGAAATATCTTACATGTGGAAGGCCGAAACGACGCTTCGTCATCATAGCACAAAACTGGCGTCGAAGACAATAAAGTACATTGGAAATCAAGGATTGTATAGCAAATGATCATTTATTACAAGATACAGTTTATGGTCGCTCTAAACGTTAGGGATTCTAACCTTTCAAGCAGCAAATTTAAAAACATTAAAAATTAGAGCTGTATGGCGAGGGAAATACGAAGCTTTCAGCATCCCTTCTGTGGTTTTGGAGGGCAATGTTTAGAAATCTTGCGTTAGCCTGAAAAGGATTAGGGAAAAAGGCAGCGCCTAAATCTAAGTTAAAAAAGACTCGTGTGTTACCTCTAGCCTATAAAATCTGTAAGATGTGGTTATGTAGCCGCACCCAATGGACGCAATACTGTTGACCTACTTAATTATTTTGATTTGGTGTGATTAGGTTGGCATGGTGTTGCTGTGCGTTGCGGTGTTTTTTCAATAGTCGGCCTTGTTTCTTTGTTGTCGTATCTACATTTTTGGCCCAATGCCGGCGGTCGTTTCAACATTCGGCCTGTCGTTTCCTTCTAACTTTCGCGTTGGATGTTTCAGGGTTAGGGTTTAGGGCTTCGGCTAAGGGTTAGGGTTGGGGCTAGGGTTAGAGTTAGGGTTAAGGCTTAGGGTAAGGAGTTATGGGCTAGTTGTTAAAGTTAGGGGATAAGGGCTTAGGGTTAGGGAAACTTTTTCTAAACCGCTCAAAGTATGTCGGCGCATTCTCAATGGCTTTTATTTGCACGCTTACTTGACCTTGTCGCTTGTGCGTTCCCCGGTTCCACCTGTAAAACGCGCATCAACACCGATCCCATATTATAGGTAGCTGCTACTTGTTTTCCTCAGGTGAATCTATATCACCACAACTAACCACGAAATCATATATCTTAGGTGGAATGACCGTCGGAACTTACATTGTCTAAACCATATACGGTATAGCTTATTCAAACATCCAAATTATTTGGGATACGGTAGCAAAGAATCAGATTGACATTACATATTTCCCAGAAATAAAAGATTAGAGAATTCCTGGATAAACATCGATGAATACAATTTCAGCACGGGAAGAGATTTGGGATTCAGTGCTGTCTACCATGCGCCTAATTATATCCGTTGGATTCTAAAGTTCATTAAAAAGAAGACGAAGGCACGATCACTGGGACGGTGGATTTATTGGCCTTCGCTTTCGAATTCGAACTGGAGTTCATCATCAGAGACTGCTAGAGTGCAGCAACGTGTGGACATTTATATCGTTGTGCCGTGAGGGGAGGGGGACTACGTCCGTGGCTAGGTTTGGTTTGTGCTGCCTGGCCCACAATGGTTCCCTGACGTGGTGACGCCGTTCGTACTTCGCGGCGATGTGAGCTGCGCCACCTGGCTGCGTGGGCGGAGCTCGTGATATCGCGCAGGAAATCAATGTGTCTATTGATAGAGTTGGTGTCTGACACCCACGCCTCCAATAGTTCTCGCCTCGTCTTGTTGCCGGCTCGCGCCAATATCCGCGTGTCGGGGAAGTCGAACTTATGGCCTTCCTCCAGCGTGTGAGGGGCGACTTGAGATAATAGGTCGCCTATCCAAACGGTACGTTTGTGCTCAAGTATTCGTGAGCTGAGACGTCGTCCTGTTAGGCCTGTGCAGTGGCAAGGACAGTTATGGCGCGGGATTTGATAGACACCCGCGTTCAGCCGATCTTTCATTTTAATGATCCTGCTGCGCATGGTAGCCGCCGGATGATGAGCGATGCCCACGCCTAACTCTGAAGCAATGCGTTCTGTAGCCTCGGACACATTCTTTTTGTACGGTAGGGAGTGCGAAGTTGTTGGTGTCTCACTTCCGTTTGTCCGTCGTGGGTGCGTGCGTATGCAGCGACTGATGAAACTATTTGGGTAGCCGTTTCTTGTTAATTGGCCCCTGAGATGCCGTAGTTCTTGCATCATTCCTTCGGGCTCGCAACAGTGCGTTTTTACCCGGTCGAAAAGTGCCCTCACACAGCCCCTTTTGTGCACCAATGGGTGCTTGCTATGATAGTTGAGGACCTGTGTTGTAATGTTAGTTTTTCTGTGCACTGTAGTGCCGAGTTTACCATCAGCTGTGCGCGTGACGAACACGTCAAGGAAGGGTAGTTTCTCGGCCTCCTCGTCTTCGTTTGTAAACTAGATGTCGGGGAAGATGCTGTCAAGCATTTCTTGAGAATCCGATAGCCTGTCCTTTTTAATAATGAAAAATGTATTGTCCACGTATCGGCGCCAAAACGCAGGTTTGTAGTGGCTGAAAGCAACCTTATCCAGCTCTTGTTGGACCAATTCCGCAACTAGGCTGGATATTGAGGAACCCATGGGTGTTCCTTTGATTTGTTCGTATGTTCTGCACTCGAAAGTGAAATAGGGTCGTTGGCAGAATGCAAAGAGCTGCATTAGGTGCTGAATATTTAGGGGCCATGTCGTTTAGTCGTACTTTTCTTCAAGGCGTTTGCGTAGCACGTCGCGCGCCAATTCTGGTGGGCTGGACGTGAAAAGTGAGACAACGTCGAAGAATACCATGATTTGGTCGAGTTGAATAGTATATCTCCGAATGTCGGTAAGGAATTGGGAGGCCGAATTGTCTAACGCCACAGAGCCCTCTCGGAGAAAATTGAGTTTTCGGGATAGATCGTATGTGGGACTGTCTTTCAGGGCCATGAGTTAGACTTCCCCGACACGCGGATATTGGCCCGAACCGGCAACAAGACGAGGCGAGAACTGTTGGAGGCGTGGGTGTGGGACACCAACTCTATCAACAGACACATTGATTTCCTGCGTGATATCACGAGCTCCGCCCACGCAGCCAGGTGGCGCAACTCAAATCGCCGCGAAGAACAAACGGCGTCACCACGTCGGGGAACCGTTGTGGGCCAGGCAGCCCAAACTAGACCTAGCCACGGACGTAGTTCCCCTCCCCTCACTGCACAACGATATAAATGTCCACTCGTTGCTGCACTCTAGCAGTCTCTGAAGATGAACTCCAGTTCGAGTTCAAAAGCTAAGGCCAATAAATCCACCGTCCCAGTGATCGTGCCTTCGTCTTCCTTTAAACAATAACCTTGGATGCGCATATTCTCTTTCATTCTATAGTTCATCTTCCCTGAACAACTGAATTGCCCGCCGCCGCCGCCACCACCACCACCACCACCACCACCACTACCACCACCACCACCGCCACCACCACTGTCCCAACGGCGGCCGCTCAGGCAGCCGTCTCGCACATCTCCAACCGCGACACAACAACCGGCACCACCCCCGCCTCTCCTGACTCCAGCAATGAGAATCAGGACTACACCTGCCCTCCCTGCGATCGCACCTTCACCTCACGTATTGTCCTGGTCGGTCACTTGCGAATCCATCGCACAGAGACCGGCGAACCAGTGCCTGAAGCACCAACCTACACCCACCGCACTCGCCTCAACTGCCCACACTGCCCTCGCACCTTCACGCATCGCATGGGTCTATTCGGCCACATGCGCATCTACGAGAGCGGAATCGACCACAATTCCGACACACCAACCACGCCCATCATGCCCAGCACCACCCTCGCACCGTCCATCTGCGCCACCACCAACGCCTCCTCTGTAACTGATTCTGACACCGCCGACTTCACGTGCCCACACTGTCCACGCACATTTGCCTCACGCATCGGTCTGGTCGGTTACTTGCGAATCCATCGCACGGAGTCTGGAGAACCAGTGCCTGGAGCACCAACCTACACCCACCAAAGCTCGTCTCAACTGCCCACACTGTCCTCGCACTTTCAGGCACTGCATGGGCCTATTCGGCCACATGCGCATCCACGACGACCTGCGGTAGACAACCGCCGGTTACACCACACATCCACATACACTCCCTACCCTCCTCTACCATCACCAACACACATCAACACTTACCCACCGCATGCACCAACTGCCATTTTCCACACAAGTGGGAAGTGTGCATCTCGACTCGGTTCCCACGCGGCTTCGGCTGTACGGGTGATTTGAGTCCGAGACTATCCCGACACTTCAAGTGTCGTGGATAGGAAGGTTGCTGATTGATGCCCATTCTCGGTTCACGCAGTTCGTCGCGTTGTGTGTGTGTGTGTGTGTGTGTGTGTGTGTGGAGTGGCGGACTGGTAGGCTGGGAACGGGCTGAAGCAGCACCTTCCACGGCCCTCTCACGCAAGTGAGAGACACGCCGTTCAACCCCCGTTGTGTGAAATCCTGGTGTTTGTGTGTATGGGGGGGCCAGGTCGTGCTGTGGTGCGCGCAGTCACGGTCAGTCGACCGTGGCAGCCACCGCGCCCATCCACCACTCCAGTTTGCCGACCGGCTCGGACGGCGGCTGGGGTGTGGGAATGGGAAGGGAGAGTGAGGTCGACGACTCAGCGCACTTTTTCCTCACTATAATCAATCTAACGCGCTGGAGGCTATCACGGTGCGCTAAAAGCCGTGGCTTGGTAGGTTGCCAACTGACGGGGTACCTTGGACCTCCTCCTTTACCGGAGGCGATCTGAGAGTCAGGCTGCAATGGCTCCTTTTTAATGTGGCCTTTATGGCACTCCCACCACAGTGTGGGATCTGAGCCAGGCGTTGGCGGCACGCCTAGGTGCGGCTTCGGCCGTGCCAGCCTCCAAATCACAGTTGTGTTGGTTGAAATCCTGGTTATTGTTGTGTGGACCAGGGGGTGTGGTGGAACGCCGAGGTGAGGATCCGTCCGAGCCATCCACCTGCGGCCTCCCTCGTCTCCGGTCTTCTTGACTCTGTCTTGACACCGGGCTCGGGCGAGGGAGGTGGAGAGAGTGTAGGTAGATGCAGCGCAAGTCTACTGGCACTATAAACCCCTGCGCAAGTCACCGTCCCTGCTCCAACCTGCTGTGGGGCACACGGTGGACATCATCGAAATCGATGGTCGAACTGTCATATAGGAAATATTGTCTGCCGCATTTTGCGAATACCGAAACATGTACAGTACGTCGCAGCCACCAGCCTATTGCAGCATCGGGGAAGAACGAAAATCTAAGCATAAGCTATTTCGTGACACATATATTCGTACACACCTGAGTTAATAATCAATGTATTTTGGGAAGCATTGTGGGGATACAGTGTATTGAGGGTCCGTGGTTGGAGCAATGTCGCAGTCACATGGACACTCACATTTCGTCGATGCATTTTGATGGCCGCTAAACGACTTTACATTTGCGAAGTTTCTCCGCCTCCGGTATACTGCCGCGGACTGTCATGCACGAAGAGGTGACAAATTTGACCACATTTAGGTCGGTTAGATCAGCAACGACCATGGTCGTTGCAAGAACCTGGAAGCAACACGCTGACTGTCCTCACCAAACGGATAGATGAAACTACTGAATACTTGTACTTCGCTCCACATTAGTATCCTGCCCTAATCCGTGCCTCCACAAAGCCGTGTTCGGCACGGCTGTCATACCCGAGTAGACGTCTTTGACCGGTGAGCCGGGAGTGTGCATTTCTAAATCTGGCAGTCCTCACACTTATTCCCATCCCTCTTCACCCCCGCCCCCCTAGACAAAATGTCCTACAAATATGGCGACATGCGACAAAGTCGCGAAATGCAGCGGAGTTCGGCAATCACCTCGAATAACTCAGCAGTCCTAGCGGGGACTGACTGCTTACCACTTATTGGAGGGAGGAGTTAGGAAAGGTATCCTGAATAAAGGATCGCGAATTACACCGTCGGCAAGCTGACCGTGAACTGTGGATGTAAAACAAAAACCATCGTCTCCATCCCCCGCTTTTCCGCAGTCTACCAATTTAGCAGCACAGAGGGTCCGTTCGCATCTAGACAGTCCGATCGACGACCGGTCGGAGGACAGGAAAACTGAGGCCGCGCTTGAGCTGACGCCCTACAAGGTGAACATCGCGTCTGTCAATGAAACACACATTTCCGAACAGTGAAAACTGGAGGGAGTGGGTACCCGTTGTAACTGCTTCTGGCACAAATTCAAGCCCTGAAAAATAATGGTACCGTCGAGATCCAATGGAGAAAACTACGGAATATCATCCAGGCCACCGATTTAGACGTTTTCGGTCGCACATACCGAGATCCCCAGGACTGGTTTAGGGACAAGGACGGAGGAATTCGACACCTGCTTTTCAAGGAAAACCGGCCAAATGCGACCCACGTCAATAAAGTAGCCGAAATCCATACGTACATTCAGAAAGACGACATTGTCTCGATCACACCACGAAACCTGCACCACCTGCACACACCCTATACAAGATAAGAATTTACTCCTGCACGCACGTGTATGTTACTTTCTTACTCAACACTTCACTTCTGCAGTACGCCTGCTATTCTTTTGTCAGCACCTGTATTGTACATTAAACATCACATTTAGGAACATGAACAATTACGTATGTCCGTCGGTGAAGTCTGGTACATGAAGGTGGGAACAGGGCGTGAACGGCATGCGTAAGCGGGCATTGGGGAGTTGTGAGCTACTACGCCCAGTCCCACTTCCATTCAACTAAATACGGACGAACCGGGGGTGCAAGGGTGGAAGAGGGGATGGTGTCGATACTGGGCTATGCATCTTTAAGGCTGATCGGCGAGTTGATCACTGCAATAGATCCGATGGGCAGGAAATTATTCAGATTCCGACCGACACAAGGAATGATCTTCCCGGCATGCCCCACAAGGTGAGCGCAGCATCGGTGAGTTGTGTGTGAAGTAGTTTATGATGAGGCAGGTATTTGCAGCACCCACCAGGCGCGTTCTTCCCCATCTACCATGCTCCGACCAAAAGACAATATTGAGGCGCCAGGATGGAGGAGCTGGAGGGTAACAGAGCTAGGCAACCGGTATGCGCGTGTCACGCACGGCCTAAGCCCCAGAACTCGTAACGGACTGTAGTACATCGAGTGACCGATCTCACGAAATGTTGACCGAAATTCTGAAATGCGTTTTCGGTAAGGAAGGAGTACTAAGGTGGATTTGTATACTGATTATCTTGCGGCATAATCCTATAATACTTCAGGTTCGGCAGGATGTCGGCTTCTGAATACATTCTTTCTTCGTGTAGAAAATGTAAAGACAACACGATTCGGTAGCAACTGAGTTAAAGAAACATATTTTTAAATATCTTTTTTGCATAATATATTTGAAAGATTTGAACGATTTAGGCTACTTAAGTGGTCATTTCTTACCGAGTGCGGTTTCGACAGGAGGTCAAAAAGAACTACATTCAAAAGCCGACATCCTGGCAAGTCCGAGACATTATAGGATTATGCCGCAGGATGATCAACATCGCAACTGTACGTAAATAATCCTTCCTTATCGAAAACGAATTTCAGAATTTCGGTCAACATTTAATGACATCGGTCACTCACTGTAGATGCTACTCGAATCTCAGGTCAGTTACTGGGCAATAAAGATCGCGCTGCGAAAGACCATTTGAAGCCTGGCTGTCGGTTATTCATTCATCCAAAATACCCGTGAGAGTGTCGGGTTTTCATGTGGGTTGGCAGCCTTCCAAGGCATGACTCTTGACGAGTCGTGATTTAGATTTGTGCTTTGGATTTGCTATAGTGGAGAACGCATTACTGTGCGGTGAGAGTGGATGTCCACCCGACTTCCTCTTCTCTCTCTTTCTCCTGATTGACTGTTTGAGCCCCCGGTTACCCAGATGGGGTATTTTTGGCCGCTGCTGGCAATGCTAAACAGCTCGGTTAGATCGCAGTTGGAAGCCAGGAATGGGGAGGCGGACAGCCAAGTCCCTGTTGTACGGGAATGGTGGGAGATAGGGTTATATGGGTGGGGTAAATGGAAGGACTGATAAAGGAATTCTAGAGTTTCTTAGTAAAAGTACAGTTACCAAAGAAAGTGCCGGAAGTTTTAAGTAGTGGAATAATGGCAGAAATTTAAACCCTACTCTTAACCCTAAAACTCAACCGTGATCGCCGCCGTTAAGCCTAACCCTAAACCTTAAAACCGAAATGTAACCAAAATCCTAAAACCCAACGTTAACCCAAAACCTAGCCACAGCTCTAAATCTAATCTTGACCCTAACTTCAACCTTAATTTTAACCCTAACACTATCCTTAACCCTAAAGCTAACCTTAAGCCTAACCCTAACCTCAAACGTATCCCCAACGGGAACCTAAACCCTAACCCTAGCACTGAAACCTGACCCTAAATCGCAAAACCTAATCCTAAAATTTAACCTACGCCTAACCCTAACCCCCACTTAACCCAACAGCCTGACCGAAACGGGCGACCCGCCTAACTCTTTAAGTGCACACCTACTGATAACAACTTCTCTTGACAAGGTAAGCACACCTACTGATAACAAGTACGTACGTCGACGGTATCAACGTATAATGTCTGGCTACCAACTGCGATCTTACTAACAGCTCATTTACGTGTGCCACACACGGGCTAACCCCTACTAAACATGATACGCACGTCCTCAAACGCGACGATTCTCTGGTCATGCCAGCGCTGGCTAAGTGGATCGCATGCTTGCAGTGAGAGATAGGAATGGTGTCACTTGACTGACGTGTATGCATGCCTGTAGAACATTTTTATAGGGAGTGTTGAAAGGTATGTGGGGGTAGGTAAGACTAGCATCCGGGTCATCCCGCTCTTTTTCTTGTTGTGCGTAATCCTGGTTAACTGTAAGCCTATCAGGAGGCGTGATGGTACTCTTAGGTGCCGGTTTTCGTCGTGTCAGACATCTACGCCTTCTACCGCTCCTGGTGTTCTTGAATTGTCTTAACATCGGGTCCAAGTCGGGGAGGAGAAGAGAAGGCGGAAGATGCGACGAAAGTCTGCTATCATAATAAAAGAAATGATGCGAAAGTCACCTGCCCTCCCTTCAACCTGCTGTGCAGCACACTATGGACATCGTGGGAAAAGGCGGTCGAACTGTCAGTTGTGTGTTGTGAGATGGGAGATAATTTATTCGTGTTGCCACTGCATTGCGTCCGCAGATATCCTAGGAAGCCGATTAGTGCTCGTAGGGTCG